CAGAGTACCTCCACAGACTCTTATCTTATCAACGAGGTGTTCAGTGTACCTCTCAGACTTCTTATCAACGAGGTGTTCAGTGTACCTCTCGCAGACTTCTTATCTTATCAACGAGGTGTTCAGTGTACCTCTCACAGACTCTTATTCAACGAGTGTTCAGAGTACCTCTCACAGACTTCTTATCTTATCAACGAGGTGTTCAGAGTACCTCTCACAGACTTCTTATATCAACGAGGTGTTCAGTGTACCTCTCACAGACTTCTTATCTTATCAACGAGGTGTTCAGTGTACCTCTCACAGACTTCTTATCAACGAGGTGTTCAGTGTACCTCTCACAGACTTCTTATCTTATCAACGAGGTGTTCAGAGTACCTCTCACAGACTTCTTATCTTATCAACGAGGTGTTCAGTGTACCTCTCACAGACTTCTTATCAACGAGGTGTTCAGTGTACCTCTCGCAGACTTCTTATCTTATCAACGAGGTGTTCAGTGTACCTCTACAGACTTCTTATCAACGAGGTGTTCAGAGTACCTCTCGCAGACTTCTTATCAACGAGGTGTTCAGTGTACCTCTCACAGACTTCTTATCTTATCAACGAGGTGTGTTCAGAGTACCTCTCGCAGACTTCTTATCAACGAGGTGTTCAGTGTACCTCTCGCAGACTTTCTTATCAACGAGGTGTTCAGTGTACCTCTCACAGACTTCTTATCTATCAACGAGGTGTTCAGAGTACCTCTCACAGACTTCTTATCAACGAGGTGTTCAGAGTACCTCTCGCAGACTTTATATCAACGAGGTGTTCAGTGTACCTCTCACAGACTTCTTATCTTATCAACGAGGTGTTCAGTGTACCTCTCACAGACTTCTTATCAACGAGGTGTTCAGTGTACCTCTCACAGACTTCTTATCTTATCAACGAGGTGTTCAGTGTACCTCTCGCAGACTTCTTATCTTATCAACGAGGTGTTCAGTGTACCTCTCACAGACTTCTTATCAACGAGGTGTTCAGTGTACCTCTCACAGACTTCTTATCAACGAGGTGTTCAGTGTACCTCTCACAGACTTCTTATCTTATCAACGAGGTGTTCAGTGTACCTCTCGCAGACTTCTTATCTTATCAACGAGGTGTTCAGTGTACCTCTCGCAGACTTCTTATCTTATCAACGAGGTGTTCAGTGTACCTCTCACAGATTCGTATCAACGAGGTGTTTCAGTGTACCTCTCGCGACTCTTATCTTATCAACGAGGTGTTCAGTGTACCTCTCACAGACTTCTTATCTTATCAACGAGGTGTTCAGAGTACCTCTCGCAGACTTCTTATCAACGAGGTGTTCAGGTGTACCTTCGCAGACTTCTTATCAACGAGGTGTTCAGAGTACCTCTCGCAGACTTCTTATCAACGAGGTGTTCAGTGTACCTCTCACAGACTTCTTATCAACGAGGTGTTCAGTGTACCTCTCACAGACTTCTTATCTTATCAACGAGGTGTTCAGTGTACCTCTCGCAGACTTCTTATCAACGAGGTGTTCAGTTGTACCTCTCGCAGACTTCTTATCTATCAACGAGGTGTTCAGTGTACCTCTCACAGACTTCTTATCTTATCAACGAGGTGTTCAGAGTACCTCTCACAGACTTCTTATCACGAGGTGTTCAGTGTACCTCCTCAGACTTCTTATCTTATCAACGAGGTGTTCAGAGTACCTCTCAAGACTTCTATCTTATCAACGAGGTGTTCAGAGTACCTCTCACAGACTTCTTATCAAACGAGGTGTTCAGTGTACCTCTCTCAGACTTCTTATCTATCAACAAGGTGTTCAGTGTACCTCTACAGACTTCTTATCAACGAGGTGTTCAGTGTACCTCTCGCAGACTTTTATCTTATCAACGAGGTGTTCAGAGTACCTCTCGCAGACTTCTTATCAACGAGGTGTTCAGTGACCTTCACAGATTATCAACGAGGTGTTCAGAGTACCTCTCGCAGACTTCTTATATCAACGAGGTGTTCAGTGTAACCTCTCACAGACTTCTTATCAACGAGGTGTGTTCAGTGTACCTCTCGCAGACTTCTTATCTTATCAACGAGGTGTTCAGTGTACCTCTCACAGACTTCTTATCTTATCAACGAGGTGTTCAGTGTACCTCTCACAGACTTCTTATCTTATCAACGAGGTGTTCAGTGTACCTCTCACAGACTTCTAATCTTATCAACGAGGTGTTCAGTGTACCTCTCACAGACTTCTAATCTTATCAACGAGGTGTTCAGTGTACCTCTCACAGACTTCTTATCTTATCAACGAGGTGTTCAGTGTACCTCTCACAGACTTCTTATCTTATCAACGAGGTGTTCAGTGTACCTCTCACAGACTTCTTATCTTATCAACGAGGTGTTCAGTGTACCTCTCACAGACTTCTTATCTCAACGAGGTGTTCAGTGTACCTCTCGCAGACTTCTTATCTTATCAACGAGGTGTTCAGTGTACCTCTCACAGACTTCTTATCTATCACGAGTGTTCAGTGTACCTCTCACAGACTTCTATTAAGAGTGTTCAGTGTACCTCTCACAGACTTCTAATCTTATCAACGAGGTGTTCAGTGTACCTCTCACAGACTTCTTATCTTATCAACGAGGTGTTCAGTGTACCTCTCACAGACTTCTTATCTTATCAACGAGGTGTTCAGTGTACCTCTCGCAGACTTCTTATATCAACGAGGTGTTCAGTGTACCTCTGCACGACTTCTTATCTTATCAACGAGGTGTTCAGTGTACCTCTCACAGACTTCTTTATCTTATCAACGAGGTGTTCAGTGTACCTCTCGCAGACTTTCTATCTATCAACGAGGTGTTCAGTGTACCTCTCGCAGACTTCTTATCTTATCAACGAGGTGTTCAGTGTAACCTCTCACAGACTTTCTTATCTTATCAACGAGGTGTTCAGTGTACCTCTTCACAGACTTCTTATCTTATCAACGAGGTGTTCAGTGTACCTCTCGACAGACTTCTATCTTATCAACGAGGTGTGCAGTGTAGCCTCTCGCAGACTTCTTATCTTCAACGAGGTGTTCAGTGTACCTCTCGCAGACTTCTTATCTTATCAACGAGGTGTTTCAGTGTACCTCTCAGCAGACTTCTTATCTTATCAACGAGGTGTTCAGTGTACCTCTCACAGACTTCTTATCTTATCAACGAGGTGTTCAGTGTACCTCTCACAGACTTCTTATCAACGAGGTGTTCAGTGTACCTCTCACAGACTTCTTATCAACGAGGTGTTCAGTGTACCTCTCGCAGACTTCTTATCAACGAGGTGTTCAGTGTACCTCTCGCAGACTTCTTATCTTATCAACGAGGTGTTCAGTGTACCTCTCACAGACTTCTTATCTTATCAACGAGGTGTTCAGTGTACCTCTCACAGACTTCTTATCTTATCAACGAGGTGTTCAGTGTACCTCTCACAGACTTCTTATCAACGAGGTGTTCAGTGTACCTCTCGCAGACTTCTTATCTTATCAACGAGGTGTTCAGAGTACCTCTCGCAGACTTCTTATCTTATCAACGAGGTGTTCAGAGTACCTCTCACAGACTTCTTATCTTATCAACGAGGTGTTCAGTGTACCTCTCGCATGAGACTTCTTATCTTATCACGATGTGTTCAGTGTACCTCTCGCAGACTTCTTATCAACTGAGGTGTTTCAGTGTACCTCTCACAGACTTCTTATCTTATCAACGAGGTTCAGTTGTACCTCTCGCAGACTTCTTATCTTATCAACGAGGTGTTCAGTGTACCTCTCGCAGACTTCTTATCAACGAGGTGTTCAGTGTACCTCTCGCAGACTTCTTATCTTATCAACGAGGTGTTCAGTGTACCTCTCACAGACTTCGTATCAACGAGGTGTTCAGTGTACCTCTCGCAGACTTCTTATCAACGAGGTGTTCAGTGTACCTCTCGCAGACTTCTTATCAACGAGGTGTTCAGTGTACCTCTTGCAGACTTCGCTGGCCGTGATGTTTCCGGACGCCGACAGCTCTGGGATCAGGACCGGTTCTCCAGGTTTCCTGCGGATCCTGGAGGCTTTCTCTCTGACGCGCTGCTCTATGGAGACAACGTCTGGTTTCTCTGGAGGCTCCGGTTTGGGGGGCCCTTCCTCAGCGGGCCCCTCTGATTCGCTCACCTCCACGTCTTCATCTTCCTCTTCTGTCTCATCCTGCGTCTGGTCTTTCTTCTTCTTCTTCTTCCTCTTCTTCTTGGCTTTCTGAACAGTCAGAGGAGATGATTTTATCAGCTTTAGATTGTACAGTAAAATCATCAGGTTATAGAGAAATAAAAGTAAGAACGATTGATCAAATGATAGTTATTTTGGAGACCGAGATGACGTGTTTAAAAACATCCTGATATCTTATCATGAGCAGAAACTGTTCAGCTGAAATGATCTCTGAAAACAGATCACATGTGAGGAATAAAACCCTCAGGTAATTTAACAAGATACAACATTAATATAGTTATATTATAATTCTAACGTCTTAACTAAATGTCTCCAAAGGCCACAGTGAGTCAAACGTGAAACTGCTCAATGTTCAGAGGGTAAACGCATTTCTTTTTACCAAGGATGACCCTGTCTGCTTTCATATTGTTTGTCTGTTTATTACTGTAACAAAAATGAAAAACAATAAATAAATGCATCTTATCTTATTAGCTATAAGAACTATTTTCAAATCCAGACTGAAAACTCATCTTTTTGACTGAACACTGATACCTCAGACCTCACATGTTATCTCTTCCATTGGGACCAGGGTATATACTGGGAATACCAGTATGAAATGAACCTGTCAGTCCTCTCCTCACTTTAATAATATCATTGTGTGATTCTTATTTGCTAATGTTTATTAGGGCTGTGCATCTTCACTGGTCTCACGATTCGATTACGATTATCCTGTCAACGATTCGATTCGATTCGATATCCCGATGCATCACGATTCATACCAATGCGTTGCATCCTCAATTTTCTATATTACTGCACATGGCTTATTTTTCATCAATGCATACATGCAGTAAATACATATGAGCTCTCTTTTTATTATTTAGAAAGTGCTTCAGAAATCAATAACATAAATGTCTTGACATTCATTTATAAACCAAAATAAATGAATTGTATAGGTCTAGCCTCTATAAATAATGCTTCTGCAGTCTAGCTGCAGCTTCTAGCAACGGCCTTCTGTTAAAGAAAGGACACTGAATGTCCTGTGGCATCACACACAGGACTTGAGTCTGAACACAGCAGACAAGAGTATTTACAACAGCATACAAACTAAAATACTGCATGTGGGTGCACACTCACATTCTCTGTCTTACTGTTTCATAAATCCCATGAATGTATGAGATTAAGTTAGCTTCATTATATCTGAGTGATTAAGTGAATAATAAAGGTTCTATCGGGTCACTATCAGCCTGTCACTCATTATTTTCAGGGAGGGGGCGGGGTTTGGAGGAACAGAGGAGACGGTGATCGCGGAAGCTTTTTTCCTCCTGCCTTCACAAACTTTACACACGTATATATCGTCTGGAAATTGCTAGAGGACATTCATACTCTGCAATCCAAGACTTCATTAAATCCACCAAAAACCTGACATGATTATTTTTGAAAAACATAAATCCCTGTGTCTCTGAGCCGCGACACGGAGTGATTCAGAGCGGGTCCTTCTGCTGTTGGTTCTGGACTGGTGTTCTTGTGTTGGTGGATAAAGCAGACTGCTCCGTGTTTGGTGTTGCTGTACCGCTGTCACGTCTGTTCACTGATCTCTGCGTCACCGACCGATTTGATATTAAAGTGACAGAAAAAAAAACGTTATAGTAAAGCCACGGCCGGAAAATCAGGAAGCAACGTTACTACGCTATAACCGATTATCTTCCGTCACTGCATCGAGACCGAATCGTCCACGTCCGCATCGCAATGCATCGTAGAAACGATTATTTTCAACACCCCTAATGTTTATCTATATTTACTACTTCTCACACTTCTTAGCTAAGCTTAGGAACATTGCTTATTAAGAACATTTATTGCAGTGTTGTTAGTTTCACTATGTGCAGAAACATTATGACTTTCTGTTGAACTGAGAACATCCTGATACTCCCTAAACTCCCAGAATGCTCCTCTGTTATCACCAAGCTCAACCCCTCCCTTTCTCCTCTCAACCCAAACTCTAGGTCTTCCTCTCTGCAGACTGTACGCTCTCTGTACGACTGACTGAACTTTCTTGCAAGAAATAAAATACGACAAAGACAGCTGAATGGTTTGAATCTCTACCCACATTTGATACATAAATTCCCACCACAAAGCGTAGTTATTTGACTGTATCCTGTAACTGATGTGGCCCAACAGCCCCTCTGTCTGTGCAGTAACCAGGCCCCTCTATCTGTAGCAGGCCCCTCTATATGTGCAGTAAGCAGGCCCCTCTGTCTGTGCAGTAAGCAGGCCCCTTTATCTGTGCAGTACCCAGGCCCCTCTATCTGTGCAGTAACCAGGCCCCTCTATATGTGCAGTACCCAGGCCCCTCTATCTGTGCAGTAAGCAGGCCCCTCTATATGTGCAGTAAGCAGGCCCCTCTGTCTGTGCAGTAAGCAGGCCCCTCTATCTGTGCAGTACCCACTCCCAGGCCCCTCTATCTGTGCAGTAACCAGGCCCCTCTATATGTGCAGTAACCAGGCCCCTCTATCTCTGCAGTACCCAGGCCCCTCTATCTGTGCAGTAAGCAGGCCCCTCTATATGTGCAGTAAGCAGGCCCCTCTGTCTGTGCAGTAAGCAGGCCCCTCTATCTGTGCAGTAACCAGGCCCCTCTATCTGTGCAGTACCCAGGCCCCTCCATCTGTGCAGTAACCAGGCCCCTCTATATGTGCAGTACCCTGGCCCCTCTATCTGTGCAGTAAGCAGGCCCCTCTATCTGTGCAGTAACCAGGCCCCTCTATCTGTGCAGTAACCAGGCCCCTCTATCTGTGCAGTAACCAGGCCCCTCTATCTGTGCAGTACCCAGGCCCCTCTATCTGTGCAGTAACCAGGCCCCTCTATATGTGCAGTACCCTGGCCCCTCTATCTGTGCAGTAAGCAGGCCCCTCTATATGTGCAGTACCCTGGCCCCTCTATCTGTGCAGTAACCAGGCCCCTCTATCTGTGCAGTAAGCAGGCCCCTCTATATGTGCAGTACCCTGGCCCCTCTATCAGTGCAGTAACCAGGCCCCTCTATCTGTGCAGTACCCAGGCCCCTCTATATGTGCAGTACCCAGGCTCCTCTATCTGTGCAGTACCCAGGCCCCTCTATCTGTGCAGTAACCAGGCCCCTCTATCTGTGCAGTACCCAGGCCCCTCTATCTGTGCAGTACCCAGGCCCCTCTATCTGTGCAGTACCCAGGCCCCTCTATCTGTGCAGTACCCAGGCCCCTCTATCTGTGCAGTACCCTGGCCCCTCTATCTGTCCAGTAACCGGGCCCCTCTATCAGTGCAGTAACCAGGCCCCTCTATCAGTGCAGTAACCAGGCCCCTCTATCAGTGCAGTAACCAGGCCCCTCTATCAGTGCAGTACCCAGGCCCCTCTATCTGTGCAGTAACCAGGCCCCTCTATCAGTGCAGTAACCAGGCCCCTCTATCTGTGCAGTAACCAGGCCCCTCTATCAGTGCAGTAACCAGGCCCCTCTATCTGTGCAGTAACCAGGCCCCTCTATCAGTGCAGTAACCAGGCCCCTCTATCAGTGCAGTACCCAGGCCCCTCTATCTGTGCAGTAACCAGGCCCCTCTATCTGTGCAGTAACCAGGCCCTCTATCAGTGCAGTAACCAGGCCCTCTATCAGTGCAGTAACCAGGCCCCTCTATCAGTGCAGTAACCAGGCCCCTCTATCTGTGCAGTAACCAGGCCCCTCTATCTGTGCAGTAACCAGGCCCCTCCATCAGTGCAGTAACCAGGCCCTCTATCTGTGCAGTAACCAGGCCCCTCCATCAGTGCAGTAACCAGGCCCCTCTATCAGTGCAGTAACCAGGCCCCTCCATCAGTGCAGTAACCAGGCCCCTCCATCAGTGCAGTAACCAGGCCCCTCTATCAGTGCAGTAACCAGGCCCCTCCATCAGTGCAGTAACCAGGCCCCTCTATCAGTGCAGTAACCAGGCCCCTCCATCAGTGCAGTAACCAGGCCCCTCCATCAGTGCAGTAACCAGGCCCCTCTATCAGTGCAGTAAGCAGGCCCCTCTATCAGTGCAGTAACCAGGCCCTCTATCAGTGCAGTAACCAGGCCCCTCTATCAGTGCAGTAACCAGGCCCTCTATCAGTGCAGTAAGCAGGCCCCTCTATCAGTGCAGTAACCAGGCCCCTCTATCAGTGCAGTAACCAGGCCCTCTATCAGTGCAGTAACCAGGCCCCTCTATCAGTGCAGTAACCAGGCCCCTCTATCTGTGCAGTACCCTGGCCCCTCTATCAGTGCAGTAACCAGGCCCTCTATCTGTGCAGTACCCAGGCCCCTCTATCAGTGCAGTAACCAGGCCCTCTATCTGTGCAGTACCCAGGCCCCTCTATCTGTGCAGTAACCAGGCCCTCTATCTGTGCAGTACCCAGGCCCCTCTATCTGTGCAGTAACCAGGCCCTCTATCTGTGCAGTACCCAGGCCCCTCTATCTGTGCAGTACCCAGGCCCCCTCTATCTGTGCAGTACCCAGGCCCCCTCTATCTGTGCAGTAACCAGGCCCCTCTATCTGTGCAGTAACCAGGCCCCTCTATCTGTGCAGTAACCAGGCCCCTCTATCTGTGCAGTACCCAGGCCCCTCTATCTGTGCAGTAACCAGGCCCCTCTATCTGTGCAGTAACCAGGCCCCTCTATATGTGCAGTACCCTGGCCCCTCTATATGTGCAGTACCCAGGCCCCTCTATCTGTGCAGTACCCAGGCCCCTCTATCTGTGCAGTACCCTGGCCCCTCTATCAGTGCAGTAACCAGGCCCCTCTATCTGTGCAGTAACCAGGCCCCTCTATCTGTGCAGTAACCAGGCCCCTCTATCTGTGCAGTACCCAGGCCCCTCTATCTGTGCAGTACCCAGGCCCCTCTATCAGTGCAGTAACCAGGCCCCTCTATCTGTGCAGTACCCAGGCCCCTCTATCTGTGCAGTAACCAGGCCCCTGTGTCTGTGCAGTACCAAGGCCCCTGTGTCTGTGCAGTACCCAGGCCCCTCTATCTGTGCAGTAACCAGGCCCCTGTGTCTGTGCAGTAACCAGGCCCCTCCATCAGTGCAGTAACCAGGCCCCTCTATCAGTGCAGTAACCAGGCCCCTCTATATGTGCAGTACCCAGGCCCCTCTATCTGTGCAGTAACCAGGCCCCTCTATCAGTGCAGTACCCAGGCCCCTCTATCTGTGCAGTAACCAGGCCCCTGTGTCTGTGCAGTAACCAGGCCCCTCCATCAGTGCAGTAACCAGGCCCCTCTATCAGTGCAGTAACCAGGCCCCTCTATATGTGCAGTACCCAGGCCCCTCTATCTGTGCAGTAACCAGGCCCCTCTATCAGTGCAGTAACCAGGCCCCTCTATATGTGCAGTACCCAGGCCCCTCTATCTGTGCAGTACCCAGGCCCCTCCATCAGTGCAGTAACCAGGCCCCTCTATATGTGCAGTACCCAGGCCCCTCTATCTGTGCAGTACCCAGGCCCCTCTATCTGTGCAGTAAGCAGGCCCTCTATTTGTGCAGTAACCAGGCCCCTCTATCTGTGCAGTAAGCAGGCCCCTCTATCTGTGCAGTAAGCAGGCCCCTCTATTTGTGCAGTAACCAGGCCCCTCCATCAGTGCAGTAACCAGGCCCCTCTATCTGTGCAGTAAGCAGGCCCCTCTATTTGTGCAGTACCCTGGCCCCTCCATCAGTGCAGTAACCAGGCCCCTCTATTTGTGCAGTAACCAGGCCCCTCTATTTGTGCAGTAACCAGGCCCCTCCATCAGTGCAGTACCCAGGCCCCTCTATCTGTGCAGTAAGCAGGCCCCTCTATCTGTGCAGTAAGCAGGCCCCTCTATTTGTGCAGTACCCTGGCCCCTCCATCAGTGCAGTAACCAGGCCCCTCTATTTGTGCAGTAACCAGGCCCCTCTATTTGTGCAGTAACCAGGCCCCTCCATCAGTGCAGTACCCAGGCCCCTCTATATGTGCAGTACCCAGGCCCCTCTATTTGTGCAGTAACCAGGCCCCTCCATCAGTGCAGTACCCAGGCCCCTCCATCAGTGCAGTAACCAGGCCCCTCTATATGTGCAGTACCCAGGCCCCTCTATCTGTGCAGTAAGCAGGCCCCTCTATTTGTGCAGTACCCAGGCCCCTCTATTTGTGCAGTACCCAGGCCCCTCCATCAGTGCAGTAACCAGGCCCTCTATCTGTGCAGTAAGCAGGCCCCTCCATCAGTGCAGTAACCAGGCCCCTCTATTTGTGCAGTAACCAGGCCCCTCTATCTGTGCAGTAAGCAGGCCCCTCCATCAGTGCAGTAACCAGGCCCCTCTATTTGTGCAGTAACCAGGCCCCTCTATTTGTGCAGTAACCAGGCCCCTCTATCTGTGCAGTAACCAGGCCCCTCTATCTGTGCAGTAAGCAGGCCCCTCTATCTGTGCAGTAAGCAGGCCCCTCTATTTGTGCAGTACCCTGGCCCCTCCATCAGTGCAGTAACCAGGCCCCTCTATTTGTGCAGTAACCAGGCCCCTCTATTTGTGCAGTAACCAGGCCCCTCCATCAGTGCAGTACCCAGGCCCCTCTATATGTGCAGTACCCAGGCCCCTCTATTTGTGCAGTAACCAGGCCCCTCCATCAGTGCAGTACCCAGGCCCCTCCATCAGTGCAGTAACCAGGCCCCTCTATATGTGCAGTACCCAGGCCCCTCTATCTGTGCAGTAAGCAGGCCCCTCTATTTGTGCAGTACCCAGGCCCCTCTATCTGTGCAGTACCCAGGCCCCTCTATCTGTGCAGTAACCAGGCCCCTCTATCAGTGCAGTACCCTGGCCCCTCTATATGTGCAGTACCCAGGCCCCTCTATCTGTGCAGTAAGCAGGCCCCTCTATATGTGCAGTAACCAGGCCCCTCTATCTGTGCAGTACCCAGGCCCCTCTATCTGTGCAGTAACCAGGCCCCTCTATCAGTGCAGTACCCAGGCCCCTCTATCTGTGCAGTAACCAGGCCCCTCTATCAGTGCAGTAACCAGGCCCCTCTATCAGTGCAGTACCCAGGCCCCTCTATCTGTGCAGTAACCAGGCCCCTCTATCTGTGCAGTAACCAGGCCCCTCTATCTGTGCAGTAAGCAGGCCCCTCTATCTGTGCAGTAACCAGGCCCCTCTATCTGTGCAGTAAGCAGGCCCCTCTATCTGTGCAGTAACCAGGCCCCTCTATCTGTGCAGTACCCAGGCCCCTCTATCTGTGCAGTAAGCAGGCCCCTCTATCTGTGCAGTAACCAGGCCCCTCTATCTGTGCAGTACCCAGGCCCCTCTATCTGTGCAGTAACCAGGCCCCTGTGTCTGTGCAGTACCCAGGCCCCTCTATCTGTGCAGTAACCAGGCCCCTCTATCTGTGCAGTACCCAGGCCCCTCTATCTGTGCAGTAACCAGGCCCCTCTATCTGTGCAGTACCCAGGCCCCTCTATCTGTGCAGTACCCAGGCCCCTCTATCTGTGCAGTACCCAGGCCCCTCTATCTGTGCAGTACCCAGGCCCCTCTATCTGTGCAGTACCCAGGCCCCTCTATCTGTGCAGTAACCAGGCCCCTCTATCTGTGCAGTAACCAGGCCCCTCTATCTGTGCAGTACCCAGGCCCCTCTATCTGTGCAGTACCCAGGCCCCTCTATCTGTGCAGTACCCAGGCCCCTCTATCTGTGCAGTACCCCAGGCCCCTCTATCTGTGCAGTACCCAGGCCCCTCTATCTGTGCAGTACCAAGGCCCCTGTATCTGTGCAGTAACCAGGCCCCTCTATCTGTGCAGTAACCAGGCCCCTGTGTCTGTGCAGTACCCAGGCCCCTCTATCTGTGCAGTACCCAGGCCCCTCTATCTGTGCAGTACCCAGGCCCCTCTATCTGTGCAGTACCCAGGCCCCTGTGTCTGTGCGGTACCCAGGCCCCTCTATCTGTGCAGTACCCAGGCCCCTCTATCTGTGCAGTACCCAGGCCCCTCTATCAGTGCAGTAACCAGGCCCTTCTATCTGTGCAGTACCCAGGCCCCTCTATCTGTGCAGTACCCAGGCCCCTCTATCTGTGCAGTACCCAGGCCCCTCTATCTGTGCAGTACCCAGGCCCCTCTATCTGTGCAGTACCCAGGCCCCTCCATCAGTGCAGTAACCAGGCCCCTCCATCAGTGCAGTAACCAGGCCCCTCTATATGTGCAGTACCCAGGCCCCTCTATCTGTGCAGTACCCAGGCCCCTCTATCTGTGCAGTACCCAGGCCCCTCTATCTGTGCAGTACCCAGGCCCCTCCATCAGTGCAGTAACCAGGCCCCTCCATCAGTGCAGTAACCAGGCCCCTCTATCTGTGCAGTACCCAGGCCCCTCTATCTGTGCAGTAAGCAGGCCCCTCTATTTGTGCAGTACCCAGGCCCCTCTATCTGTGCAGTACCCAGGCCCCTCTATTTGTGCAGTAACCAGGCCCCTCTATCTGTGCAGTACCCAGGCCCCTCTATCTGTGCAGTAACCAGGCCCCTCTATCAGTGCAGTACCCAGGCCCCTCTATCTGTGCAGTACCCAGGCCCCTCTATCTGTGCAGTACCCAGGCCCCTCTATCTGTGCAGTACCCAGGCCCCTCTATCTGTGCAGTACCCAGGCCCCTCTATCTGTGCAGTACCCAGGCCCCTCTATCAGTGCAGTAACCAGGCCCTTCTATCTGTGCAGTACCCAGGCTGTCTGTCTCTCTGTACCTGCTTCCTCCTCCAGATCTTCCACTCCTCCAGATGCTTCTTGTACTCGGCCAGCTTCCTCTGGTAATCCTCCTCCATCTCCGCCTCCAGCTCCACCAGCTCAGCCAGGATCTCTCCCTCACACTGGTGCTCGTCTGAGGCCCGGTCCATGCTCTCCCTGGGTTCAAAACACACAGCATGATGTCATTACCAATCTGTGCAGTAACACCATAGCAGCATGTGAAGGACACTGTTCAGGAACTAGCTGATGCTCTGTATGTGATGACTCCTTCCATTCTGGAGAGGATCACAGATACAGAGACTGAAGCTCAAGCCGGGACCAGGGATTATTAACATTTTCAGAGAAAGTCAGAATTTTTAGATCTTTCGAAAAGGTCAGAATTTTGAGATTTATATTTATCTTATCAAATATGACATACACCGTAAAATAATAATAAATTATATATATTGTAGTAATAATGATATCATCTATTTATAATTGTAAATGTATATTGTATGCAGAGATACATTTAGATGCACATTTTGTCAAAAGAAAAAAGTTAATAATGTAGTTTTGGGAGAAGGGTTGAATAAATGTAAACTTCACTTTTCAGATCATTTGTTTATATATCATTTGTAAGTCAATCATTTTTTGTTTATCAATTTGATACTGCTTGAGTTTGTACAGCATCATAATTCTCTTTCGTTTCATTTCATTATTATTATTTGTATTATTGTTTTCCACGTTCTAAATAAATCAAATCAAATGACGTGTCCTGAAAACCAATGAAAACACCTTGATAAAAACCAGCTCATGAAAGAAGCTCTAAAGAACATCAGAGAGTCTCAATCCTCTGATGGAGCTGTACCTCCTGAGGGAGAGTTTGTACGGCGTGTTGGTGAACTTCTGGAAGTCTCTGAGGGTCTTCAGCTCCTTCCAGACCCGGACGATGTTCCTCAGCAGAACCCGGTCCTTCTCCTGCTCGCCGTCCCGCAGCTGCCTGGTGCTCCTGTTAGGGGGTCAGGAGAGTCCTTTAGATCTACAGTGAGGTGCAGGAACGAGCCCTAAAACCAGGAGGTGAGTCAGCATGTCACCACTTCCTGGTCCCTCGTTTTTATATCTGAACTAAGGTCTGTGGTTGAGACAAAGAGACGGGTCACGTTTTGTTCTACATTAAATCATCAGCAGTGACCCCACTGTGATTTCTGAAGAGTGGACGTGTCTGAGAAACGATGGTTGTTACCAAGTGGCTGATCAGAACTACAGAAGTCGTGGAGGCCGTTGTACGTCATTACGCCGAACACGTGAACACTCCTCTGAGTTAGTTTCTGTTCTGCTTGAAAGCAAGTCCCTGCCTCCTGCAAAGTGTTCAAACAAACGCTTCAACTCGTTCCATCTAGAGTCTGTGTGTTTGAATCTGAAGGCTCGGCTGTAGTTCCTTTATAGCAGGGCCGGTTTTTGGCATAGGCGCCAGATCTGGGGGAAGGAAAAACCTTTTTGACCGTTGGTGCTCATCTTAATTATCGGTCTTGATGTAACAACATTCATAATTAAGTAAATGTAACACCCTTTTCATCCCGGTTACACTTTTCATTCGCCCTGTACGATGGGCGCTGTAAGTGATGAAAGAGGCGGATGTTGGCTTATCTGGCACCCGCAGCTCACAGCCAAAGTGCGAGAGGGAGAGGGAGCGAGCGAGGGAGAGGGAGGGCGCACTGGTACCGGCGCTGTTGTTATTAGCATCTGGTGCTAGCTGCGCTAACGGACATAAGAAGAGATGTTTCTACAACCAGGGTGCAGGACAGCTCTCCTGTCAGACTGAGAGGCTCAGTGAGGTAAAGGACTCTGAGTGTTCAGATAGTTAACTTTAGTCGAAGTTATCTCAGTGGGTCTCAAACATTTTGATCACAATTTATGTAAACACATATTTCCAAGGCACTCCTTTATAATTATTGGGATAAACAGGTTTGAAATCATTTCAATGGCGCCAGCTAAAATCTCGCCTAGGGCATCAAATTGTCTAGAGCCGGCGCTGCTTTGTAGCATCACGTTAGCATTTAGCTTCTGGACATTAGATTTATGATTAGAAAATTATAAAAGTTGGGTAGAGATGATCCGGCTAAACAAAACATTTATCAAACATAAATACATCAACAACGACCCTATAGCACCCTTTAAGTGTATTTATTTATACTTATGTCATGTTCTGCCAGTCGTCAGTCGCTTTGGACGAAACCAGTGACATGTGGTGAAAGTCTTTTATTTGTATCGTTGCTTCCAGCCTCTCTGATCTGGAGATTTGCTGCTTCTGCTTTACTTCATATCAAAGTGAATGTCTCTGAATAACACTGGACTCTGAGCAGCTGGGACGGACATGTTCACTATTTTATAAACAATTAATGTAGAAAATAATCTGCTGATTAATCTGAAATGAAAATAATAGCTAGTTTTTACCCTAAAGGAGATAAATATGTGTTATAGTGATTGCATGAATGTAGCTGGCCGTGCTGTTGGAGAAACAGGTCTGCGCCTCCCTTCATCGTCAGCAAGTGGACATGTTGAGGTCCCTTGGTTTCATTGGACTTTCAAAAGAGGAGCCACCCAGCACTCAAAGTTACAGATGAACCTCTAGAGCGCCTCGCCGTCACGGAGCAGGAAGCTTCATCCCTCACCTGACCTCCAGACTGTACTCAGAGATCCGCCGCTGCATGGCCGCCGTCAGACTCTCTCCTCCGTGGACCTCCAGAATACTCCTCAGAGCGTTCCTGAGTCCATTCAGCTGCACACACACACACACACACACACACACACACACACACACACACACACACACACACACACACACACACACACACACACACACACACACACACACACACACACACACACACACACACACACACACACACACACACACACACACACACACACACACACACACACACACCACACACACACACACACACACACACACACACACACACACACACACACACACACACACACACACACACACACACACACACACACACACACACACACACACACACACACACACACACACACACACACACACACACACACGTTTAACCTAGCTGCAGGATTGTTGTCCAAACGTGTTGGAACTTACAAGGTTTTACATTTTAAATCGGTCAGCGCTATTTTAGCGTTAGTATTATTAATAATCTATCAAAAATAAAGAGCTTGGGGAAAAAATGCTATGCGTGTTTTAATTTAAACTCTCTCTAAACATTTGTCTTTATTTGACGCTGCAGAATTAAAATGGATTTAGTCATTCAAACAATATGTGTTTAAAAACATGCGCTGCAGGAGAGAAAGTCATGATTTTGAGGAAAAGTCAGAATTTTTTGATTTAAAATCTGAATTTTGAAAAAAATCTGAATTTATTTTGTAAATGACAGGATGTATGATTACGTAGAAGAACCGGTATTCCTCCATCTTGTGACTGTGTAACTCCCTCGATTGGATATCAGCATGTGAAGGACACTGCTCAGGAACTAGCTGATGCTCTGTGTGTGATGACTAGAGGGTCCTGAGGCTGAAGCTCAAGCCGGGGACGAGGGAGAGTTTTCTAACACCCACCACGTGTGTCGGCTCAGAGAGGCTCACCTTGTCAGTGAGGTGTGCAGAGAGGTTGTTGCGCTGCCTGCTCAGGTACTGGTCGTACAGCTGAGCCAGGCGGGAACCCAGCACATGTTCCCGGCTGAAGAGGGGGTGGTGGGAGAAGATGAGCCCGGAAACATCCACATCCAGCTGGTAGTCCCCCTCAGGGTCCGCGGCGCCCGACAGGTACAGAGTCGCATACTTAGACTTCAGCGGCTGGGGGAGAGAACATCAACACCCATCACCTTTGATCTGCTGGCTCCATAGCCTCACACTGAAAGACAGGAACAGCCTGAACAACATGTTAAAACCTGCTCTATGTAACCGGAGTGAAACAGAGAGACTTGAACCCCTTTTGAAAGCAGAGAGCAAACTGAACTCTCCAGGTCATGTTCTTCAGAATCAATTCATCTGTTGCCATCAACGTGTATACGCTCTGCTCTAAAGACACATGGCCTTCAAAATCATTCATGCCATGAGAATACTGGAGGGGGTTTGTGCTCAAAGGAAGCACGAGATCCCATTACACCAGATTTGATTCACATTTATTGTTCAGGTTTTATTGTCATATGCTCAGCAGCTACAGGGTAGCCTGACCTGAGCTCCTCCCACAATGCAACATATATCATAAAATACAAAAATACAAATAAAAAATAGTGCAAGAAGTCTATATACATGTAAATATATGTGTGTGTGTGTGTCTCACCTTCCTGTACACAGTGTGCAGAGCAGGGTCCAGGTCCTCCTCCATGTGGAAGAGGGGGGGTCTGGTGGAGGACTCCTTGATGGGGTCAGGCAGAGCCACGATCCTGCCGTCGTCTCCGAACCACTTTTTACCCTGAAACATTTAATAAACACAGACGTATTTATTGATCCGTAGAGCTTCTCTCTCTCTGCTGGACCTGGGCCTCGTTTAGAACGTGGCCTTCACGCTGCTATGGACACTCTGCACTAACGCACAGCTTTCACAGTTTTTGAAGTGACTATTGTTTTGTATATTGATTGTTGTGCTTTTATTAATGTCTTAATTAATGCTGTCAAAATTATCGCGTTAACGGCGGTAATTCATTTTTTAAATTAATTGCGTTAAAATATTTAACGCATGTGCAGAATGGCCCGCCCCATACATCCCTCCAGTGGCAGCGCCAGGGTATGGCTGGGGTAGGCTACACCCATACCAAGAAATGGCTGAGCCCCACCATGAGAAATGATGTTAAAGGAAGCAAAATAAAGTCCGCCAACTCGCGCGGAGTAAATTGCACAGACAGCAGTTAGTCAGATTGATTTCAGCCACTTGTCTGGAAATACCGAAGACTAGAAACGGTTTTGAAAACTTTTGTCACGTAGTGATCGTCTTCTCAATATCTTTGATAATGTCTTCTGGCCAATCAGAATCAAGATAACGGCGTGGTGTTGTTGCAGGAAGTCCCGACGGAGAATACTTTTGCTGTAGTACATCTCTATATACATCGATACAACATTACGTAATGAAATAAGACCCCACGGTTTGATGATTGATATGTGTGTGGGCTGTCTTTCATTTTGACACACAGAACAATGTTATAATAAACATGTGAAATGGATATATCCGCCTTCTTTCATTTATCTTTCCATTCAACAACAATATACATAAAGAAATGGTATATTTTAGACATAGTTCGAATGGTGATTAATCTGATTAATGAATTTTCAAGCTGTGATTAATCCGATTAAAAATTGTAATCGTTTGACAGCCCTAGTCTTAATGTGTGCATATGTATACATGTGTCTGTTGATTGTGTGTATAGGATGTATCAGGGATGCAAACACAGGTAGGTGAAAAAAGAGAGAACTATTCGAAGCAGGAAAGAAACGGCGTAATAAACCGTCTGACAAAGGCCTGCGCTATAAAGCTTCAATTAGCTGTTCTTTATAACATACTCAGATCAAGAGGAGACAGAGATGTTAAGTTACAAATCAAGGGTTTTTATTATTATTTACAGGTAGATATTATACACTTCTGACTTTAAGGGCTTTAGTTTTTCTTCTTCTTTGCTTGCGAAAGTGTTTCTACTGCTTTACGTCTGCTTTCCTGCTTTACGCAGCCTGCTGCCGCTGCAGCCGCCGCTGCTGCTACCGCCGCTGCTGCCGCTACCGCCGCCGCCGCTACCGCCGCCGCTGCCGAACTGAAAGGCTGACAGTAAAGTTCCTTTGGCTACAGAGTCAGTGGTTCTCACCTCCTCCATCTGCAGGATCCTGTTCTCCAGAATGTTCTCGTTGCTCAGAGACACAGGCGGTCTCTGTCCCACGTACAGACCCTCGTCCTCCACGTACCGAGGCTTCATGTTGTCGGGGAGTTTGATGTGGGCCGCCACTGAAAAACACAAACACAACATCAAAGCGAGACATTAAGCTTTGAGGCTTTGAGACTCATCTAGTGGAAAGGAAATCTTCAAAACCTACATCAAGGAATGTCTTTCTCCAACTAACTAACCGTTGCCTCATTAATGTAGAAATAGGTATACTTTGAATCAGGGAAAGGTTCTCTACTCTTCTAAATATCAATGTTAGAGCCAGTATTTAGCTTTTATAAGAAGGGCCACCTAATCGTGACGTCTGTAGTCAACAGAGTATAAAAGACTACAACTCCCACGGTGCCTCCTCTACAATAAAGATGTGAAACCTGTCAGAAAGACATCGCCGATGCTCAGTTTTAAACCGTTAAGATACCCTTTAAGTTACCAAGTTATACAAGCTGTTAACATAGAAAGAAAGCAAGAAAGAATACCTAAGTTGTTTGTTATTTTATTTTGAGCATTGTACAATATCATCCAAACCACAAGCAACTCTTCAAACTGTGAGTAACACAAAGATAAAGGAAAGGAAACGAGTCTGTTTTTAAGGCGTCTAGTGGCTTGATGGAAAATAAGGAAGGAAGCCACAACGATCAATATTGAAGTGTTAGTGATGAATCCCAGCTCTACACACTGAGAGGAGCTGGAGGCCAGTTTGTTAGCTGAATTAAAACAACATGTGTCTTTAAATACACAGAAGAGTTAACGGTTAGTAAAGAAACCAAATTAATTTCCCCCGGACAAAGAACTTCTGAAATCCAGGAGTTTATTTCATCAACTCTGTCAGCAGATTTCTCCTAAACTCCAACAACAGTTATTATCACATAATGCCTCATTTGCATATTTAAACATTACCTGTCAGAAAACTTGTAATATAAAAGATAGTTGTGTTAATGTCAGAAATGAAGGTGGGAAGTTTCATGGTGATATCTGTGTGTTAAATATTTTGCCCCATCCACCTGCAGAGTGTTCAACAGGTGGGAGTTTTATCATCCGGATCTTTAAAGGCCGTTCTATTTCGTCCCTACTGACCGCCAGAGGCTGGATATGTCCATCGTGCGCAGGTCGAGCACCAATACCAACAAAGTGCCTCTGGAGACCATCTTCGCCGCGGCGTCTTCTGGCACATTCTCCAGGTTCTATCGGGTCAATGTCGCCACTCCCCATCCTTTGGGCGTGGTCCTTTTGCCGAGCTTTCCAGCAGTGAGCAAGGGCTTGGTTTCTTCATGACATGGTTGGTATAAGTCATCCAGTGCTAAAGCACCGCCTCTGGCGGTCAGTAGGGACCAAATAGAACGATAGTTACGGCTGTAACTACGGTTCTATGAGTCCCGGATGACCGCCAGAGTTCCTGTCACTCAGAATTCTTGTGTGCTCGCGAGAAGATTCTGGGAACAGATCCTCTGACGACACCGGCTGATATAGCCGGTGTCACGTGGGTCACAGGTGACTTTGTTGGTATTGGCATTCGACCTGCGCACGATGGACATATCCAGTGCTTAAAGCACCGCCTCTGGCGGTCATCCGGGACTCATAGAACGATAGTTACAGACGTAACTATCGTTTCCTCTCCTCCTCTCTCACAAACTGTACACACTCATTCCTCTGCATATTCTGAAGCTCTTACACACACTCATTTATACACACTTTATCACTAAAAACAAGCAGAAGATCTCTCTATGGCAGCATGTCCTGATGTATGGAGGGAGAGTTAGAAACCTCTGACTCGTCCTCCACATGCTTGGTGCTCTACACGCTAAAGGTTACCTGAGGTGAAGCTGGGCGTGAAGAGGACCTTGCTCTCTTGCTCGACTCGCTGTCCGTAGCGGAGATACTCGGCTCTCTTCGTCTCCAGGAAGTCCTGAGTGGATTGTTCAATGACGAATAAATCTCCATCTCTCACCAGAGGAGCGTCTTCATTCTGAGGAGAACACGAGGTGGAGATAATCACGATTCAGACTTCATTAGAATAATAAAGCTTTATTTATACCGCACTTTTCATACAGCACGTGCCGCTCAAAGCGCTTTATAACATCACAGGTCACACTTAGAAACAAACAACAACAAGTTCCCCTCAGATCATTTACCAAGAGCTTTGAAAGAAAGAAAATGTGATCCGGCTGTTTCTAACCTGGTCTTCATTCCCCTCTGGACCTCCCACCTCTTCCTCCTGCTCCTCCTGCTCCTCCTGCTCCTCTTCCTCCTCCTCTTCAGATGTTCTTGGTTTTCCTTTGTTCTTGTTCCCGTCTCGTGGATCCGGCTCGAATGTGAGCGTGAAGAAGTTGTACGCCTCCTCAGCGGTGGGTAGTCCGGTCTCTGTCTGGAGGCAGGAGTTCGGGAATAAAACGTAAAGGATTTGCAGTTTTGGGACGAATGGAAATACAAGTTATTATTTAGTGTTTCTAACTATTGAGTAAAACAGAAGGAGTCTTTGATTTAGTTTAGCGTTTCTTCTCTGCGGTCATCTTTGATTCCACTGTAAAAAATAATACTGTTCAAGTCGTACGACGAGTCAGACGCCGAGTAGGAAAACAGACACGATTCCTGGCCAGTGTTTTTAAAAAAAAGCATAATCTGTAAACAAGGGAGAACTTAAAGGTGGGGTTTGTAAGTTTGAGAAACCGGCTCGAGTGGCTAGAATCTGAAAATACACAACCGGAAACAATCTGCCCCTTCCTCACAGAGCCCCTCCCCCAACACACCAACGCGCACATGACCAATGAGGGCACGAGATCAGTTTGTGCCCAGATGGAAGGCTGACAGGCAGGTAGGCCATCCAGTTACTTTAGCCGGCTCAGATGATTGGTCGAGCTTTTCACAGCGCCACGGCTTCAAAGCACTTCAGATATTCATTGCTATCGGGACGTTGAGAGCATTCCATGAAATATAAGTGCTTCTGAAGTGAATTACCTTCCCCACCTTTAACTTAAAATGTCTTATCATATGTACTTGATTGTTGTTTTAACTCTTCTTTCTCACTACCTTCAGTGAACTAGGCTCCTCCCCCGCTGAGCTCTGCTGTGACTTCCTGAGTAGAGTTTTCTAGAGTTCATCTTTTAGAGCAGCTTCCCCCAAACACAGATACCTTGTTTTAAAGAGTTCACATCAGCCTTACTCGTCTGGAAGCTTCTCTGAACTTCACCCTGGAGCTGAGAGCCAGAGGGTCGTCGGGTCTCTCAGATCCATCAGGATCCACCTGGAACACAAGCAGAGTTACCCCCTCTAATCAACATGTGTCCCCTCTTCATCATGTCCCCCTCTGTGAGGACCCCCCTCTGCCCCTCACCTCCCTGTCGAACCTGGTCCTGGTGTCTCTGTCTCTGAGGGTCTGCAGGCGGCTGAGCTCCACAGAGGCCTCGCTCTCCTGGAGGCTCTCCCCTCTGGACTGGAACACATTAAAGGGACCTGTTATTCAAGATCCTCTTCTTCATGTCTCTTCTACATCAACATGTGTCCTCTCTTCTTCATGTCTCTTCTACATCAACATGTGTCCCCTCTTCTTCATGTCTCTTCTACATCAACATGTGTCCCCTCTTCTTCATGTCTCTTCTACATCAACATCTGTCCCCTCTTCTTCATGTCTCTTCTACATCAACATGTGTCCCCTCTTCTTCATGTCTCTTCTACATCAACATGTGTCCCCTCTTCTTCATGTCTCTTCTACATCAACATGTGTCCCCTCTTCTTCATGTCTCTTAACATGTGTCCCCTCTTCTTCATGTCTCTTCTACATCAACATGTGTCCCCTCTTCTTCATGTCTCTTAACATGTGTCCCCTCTTCTTCATGTCTCTTCTACATCAACATGTGTCCCTCATGTCTCTCTACATTAACATGTGTCCCCTCTTCTTCATGTCTCTTCTACATCAACATGTGTCCCCTCTTCTTCATGTCTCTTCTACATCAACATGTGTCCCCTCTTCTCCATGTCTCTTCTACATCAACATGTGTCCCCTCTTCTTCATGTCTCTTAACATGTGTCCCCTCTTCTTCATGTCTCTTCTACATCAACATGTGTCCCCTCTTCTTCATGTCTCTTCTACATCAACATGTGTCCCCTCTTCTTCATGTCTCTTCTACATCAACACGTGTCCCCTCTTCTTCATGTCTCTTCTACATCAACACGTGTCCCCTCTTCTTCATGTGTCTTCTACATCAACATGTGTCCCCTCTTCTTCACGTCTCTTCTACTTCAACATGTGTCCCCTCTTCTTCATGTCTCTTCTACATCAACATGTGTCCCCTCTTCTTCATGTCTCTTCTACATCAACACGTGTCCCCTCTTCTTCGTGTCTCTTCTACATCAACACGTGTCCCCTCTTCTTCGTGTCTCTTCTACATCAACACGTGTCCCCTCTTCTTCGTGTCTCTTCTACATCAACACGTGTCCCCTCTTCTTCGTGTCTCTTCTACATCAACACGTGTCCCCTCTTCTTCATGTCTCTTCTACATCAACACGTGTCCCCTCTTCTTCATGTCTCTTCTACATCAACACGTGTCCCCTCTTCTTCATGTCTCTTCTACTTCAACATGTGTCTCCTCTTCTTCATGTCTCTTCTACATCAACATGTGTCCCCTCTTCTTCGTGTCTCTTCTACATCAACATGTGTCCCCTCTTCTTCGTGTCTCTTCTACATCAACATGTGTCCCCTCTTCTTCGTGTCTCTTCTACATCAACATGTGTCCCCTCTTCTTCATGTCTCTTCTACTTCAACATGTGTCTCCTCTTCTTCATGTCTCTTCTACATCAACATGTGTCCCCTCTTCCTCATGTCTCTTCTACATCAACATGTGTCCCCTCTTCTTCATGTCTCTTCTACATCAACACGTGTCCCCTCTTCTTCGTGTCTCTTCTACATCAACACGTGTCCCCTCTTCTTCGTGTCTCTTCTACATCAACACGTGTCCCCTCTTCTTCGTGTCTCTTCTACATCAACACGTGTCCCCTCTTCTTCGTGTCTCTTCGACATCAACACGTGTCCCCTCTTCTTCGTGTTTCTTCGACATCAACACGTGTCCCCTCTTCTTCGTGTCTCTTCTACATCAACACGTGTCCCCTCTTCTTCGTGTCTCTTCTACATCAACACGTGTCCCCTCTTCTTCGTGTCTCTTCTACATCAAACGTGTCCCCTCTTCTCGGTCTCTTCTACATCAACACGTGTCCCCTCTTCTTCGTGTCTCTTCTACATCAACACGTGTCCCCTCTTCTTCGTGTCTCTTCTACATCAACACGTGTCCCCTCTTCTTCGTGTCTCTTCTACATCAACACGTGTCCCCTCTTCTTCGTGTCTCTTCTACATCAACACGTGTCCCCTCTTCTTCGTGTCTCTTCTACATCAACACGTGTCCCCTCTTCTTCGTGTCTCTTCTACATCAACACGTGTCCCCTCTTCTTCGTGTCTCTTCTACATCAACACGTGTCCCCTCTTCTTCGTGTCTCTTCTACATCAACACGTGTCCCCTCTTCTTCGTGTCTCTTCTACATCAACATGTGTCCCCTCTTCTTCGTGTCTCTTCTACATCAACATGTGTCCCCTCTTCTTCGTGTCTCTTCTACATCAACATGTGTCCCCTCTTCTTCGTGTCTCTTCTACATCAACATGTGTCCCCTCTTCTTCGTGTCTCTTCTACATCAACATGTGTCCCCTCTTCTTCGTGTCTCTTCTACATCAACATGTGTCCCCTCTTCTTCGTGTCTCTTCTACATCAACATGTGTCCCCTCTTCTTCGTGTCTCTTCTACATCAACATGTGTCCCCTCTTCTTCGTGTCTCTTCTACATCAACATGTGTCCCCTCTTCTTCGTGTCTCTTCTACATCAACATGTGTCCCCTCTTCTTCGTGTCTCTTCTACATCAACACGTGTCCCCTCTTCTTCGTGTCTCTTCTACATCAACACGTGTCCCCTCTTCTACATCAACACGTGTCCCCTCTTCTTCGTGTCTCTTCTCCATCAACACGTGTCCCTCTTCTTCGTGTCTCTTCTACATCAACACGTGTCCCCCTCTTCTTCGTGTCTCTTCTACATCAACACGTGTCCCCTCTTCTTCGTGTCTCTTCTACATCAACACGTGTCCCTCTTCTTCGTGTCTCTTCTACATCAACACGTGTCCCCCTCTTCTTCGTGTCTCTTCTACATCAACACGTGTCCCCTCTTCTTCGTGTCTCTTCTACATCAACACGTGTCCCCTCTTCTTCGTGTCTCTTCTACATCAACACGTGTCCCCTCTTCTTCGTGTCTCTTCTACATCAACACGTGTCCCCTCTTCTTCGTGTCTCTTCTACATCAACACGTGTCCCCTCTTCTTCGTGTCTCTTCTACATCAACACGTGTCCCCTCTTCTTCGTGTCTCTTCTACATCAACACGTGTCCCCTCTTCTTCGTGTCTCTTCTACATCAACACGTGTCCCCTCTTCTTCGTGTCTCTCTACATCAACACGTGTCCCCTCTTCTTCGTGTCTCTTCTACATCAACACGTGTCCCCTCTTCTTCGTGTCTCTTCTACATCAACACGTGTCCCCTCTTCTTCGTGTCTCTTCTACATCAACACGTGTCCCCTCTTCTCCATGTCTCTTCTACATCAACACGTGTCCCCTCTTCTTCATGTCTCTTCTACATCAACACGTGTCCCCTCTTCTTCATGTCTCTTCTACATCAACACGTGTCCCCTCTTCTTCATGTCTCTTCTACATCAACACGTGTCCCCTCTTCTTCATGTCTCTTCTACATCAACACGTGTCCCCTCTTCTTCATGTCTCTTCTACATCAACACGTGTCCCCTCTTCTTCATGTCTCTTCTACATCAACACGTGTCCCCTCTTCTTCATGTCTCTTCTACATCAACACGTGTCCCCTCTTCTTCATGTCTCTTCTACATCAACATGTGTCCCCTCTTCTTCATGTCTCTTCTACATCAACATGTGTCCCCTCTTCTTCATGTCTCTTCTACATATCAAACATTTCAGATCCTGATCAAAAGCCTGTACAAAATGCAGCGTATTGGTGAGAGATAAATGTTGTGTTAGCATGTTGTGTTAGCATGCTAATAAAGGACTGGCTTATCTAAAGCCAGTTGAGTAGCACTTAGTGCTGCGTACCTGGACTCACATTCAGGTTCAGGTCCGGACTCAAGTCCAGAGGTTCAGGTTCAGGTCCGGACTTATAAGTCCAGACCTGAACCCATGGCTTGTGTCAAGTTGTGTGAGTAACTAAAGTGAACTTATTGTGAGCTAATTATCAATTGAAAATAAACTCATAATCAACTCAATTCAAACTCGTCAGGTTTATTGCGCTCCCTTCCAACTTGTGTCTACATTTATCTACAAAGTACAAATGTAAAAAAAACACTTTTTGCCACTTAGTCTACAAATGACTTATGACAGCAACTACAGTGAACTACTACACAGTTCAAACATGTCTTTCATTTAGCAAACTAAAGTAACCAAACAGTCCCTGAGCTGACTGAGCCTAAAGTGTAGAGTAGACTATACGCATTACACTGTTACACACCTACTGTACAGTACACACTGTAGTGACTGTACTGTACTGTCTGTACACCATGTCTTTTCTACAACTCTACATGTGTACATTATACAGTACTACATACATAGTGATGTACATACATACTGTTAGAAATTAAAATCAATGTTGATATGGCGTAATTTTGAATTAAATACACTATTTAATTTAAATCAGTTTTATTCTGAAAAAAACGGAAGTTCACACTATTAACTTAATAATTGTATTCTGAAAATTATTCACTTCCGGTTAGCATTAGCATGTGGCGAAATGCTACGTTTTCAAACCGTGAATCGAAGGTGAATTGACATGTGATGTTGTACACTGAGCACACTGGGATTAGCACTCATTTATTGAGGCTGAATAACGTTTATCAGGGAATGTTTAAATAACCACAGACACCAGAATATACGTAAGTGCTAGTTTTTTTTGCGAGTCCAAGTACCGGTTACCGACGTTTCGGTTTTAACCGGACTTGAACCGAAACTTTTTACAAGTCCAGTACCGGTTCGGCGTACCGGTACGCAGCACTAGTAGCACTTGACATGTTTTGGCGGATGAAACCTGATGTACTTTATGATTCTGTTTTCTTCAAGTTTGTATTTTGTTGGTTAGCATGTTGTGTTAGCATGTTGTGTTAGAATGTTGTGTTAGCATGTTGTGTTAGAATGTTGTGTTAGCATGTTGTGTTAGCATGTTGTGTTAGCATGTTGTGTTAGCATGTTGTGTTAGCATGTTGTGTTAGCATGTTGTGTGCATGTACCCTGGCTGCTCTGAGCTTCTCCTGCAGGCGCCGCGTCACAGAGCTCTCCAGCAGCTGAGAGCCTGCAGTCTGCTGCCCTCTGGAGGAGACACCTGGACACAAGAACATACGTATCACTCCGTTAGCATTGCTGCTGACCTCGTTCACACTGTTGGCACGTTTCCCTGCGTTGCCATGGCTCAGATGTTTGAGTCATTTTGTTAAAGGAGAGTGGTCTGTACGTAAAGACCCTGAAGTCCTGCACTCTTTCTGTAGTGCAGGTAGTCGATGGAGCTGCCTCGTGGTTCAGAGGTGAACTCCAAATGGACCTCTCTGTGTTTAAGGGCAACGACCTCTATATGATGCTTTATTATAAAAGCTTCAATGGGTCACTGAGCTCAGTACACATCTGGTTTACAGACACATCACTGCATTAGTTATAAATGGTAAATGGACTGTACTTATATAGCGCTTTATCCAGTCTTTAAGACCCCTCAAAGCGCTTTACAGACTACATGTCATTCACCCATTCACACAGAGCAGTGCACCTGACTCTAGGACCTAACATTCACACCATCGGGAGCAACTCAGGGTTAAGTATCTTGCCCAAGGATACATTGACATGTTGGCTGCACGGGCTGGGATCGAACCCACAACCTTCTGGTTGAAAGACGACCGCACTCCCTCGCAGCCACAGTCGCCCAACAACTCTAGATCCAGATCCACGCCTGGGTCCATCTGCCTGGACTCTCTGGCAGACCCTGGATCTGTTTCAGTGAAGCAGAGGATGACTGCAAGAGGATGCTTCCTAACACCCAGCAGAGGAACATGGAGGTTGTTTACAGATAAGAGGACACCAACTTCTCTGAGAGCCAGTCGGAGGTCTCCATGAGACCACAGAGTCAGACGCTCTGTCAGCAGATCCCTCGTCTTCACTGTGGGGCTGAACGCTCGGGATCTCCTCCACGCCTTCATCTTCATCATCATCACGGGGGGAGGTCTGCTCAAGCAGCTACGACACGGAAACAATGTGTGAACACAGAGTGCAGTGGGTGCTATGAAGCGGTTAATAGAGGAGAGAGGAAGGCGTACCTTTCTCCTGCGTCTCTGTCTCTGAGCTCTGAGCGCTCGTTTCAGAGTCTCTCCTGGATCCTCCTCGCTGACCTGAGGCTCCTGCTGCAACCACAGCACCACATGTATGAGACACACACACACACACACACACACACTACATGCTACAGGCTACACACACACACACACAGGCTACACACACAGACACACACACAGGCTACAGGCCACACACACACTTACTACAGGCTACACACACACACACGACTAATACAGGCTACTCACACTCGAGTACTACAGGCTACACACACACATGACTAATACAGGCTACACACACACTCAAGTACTACAGGCTACACACACACACACACACGACTAATACAGGCTACACACACACTCGAATACTACAGGCTACACACACACACACACACACGACTAATACAGGCTACACACACACACACATACAGGCTACACACACACATGAATACTACAGGCTGCACACACACACCTTCATGGCGCTCTCCAGATTGTCCTCACTCAGGTTGGAAGATGGAACCAGAGCCTATGGAGTATAATCAGGTTTACTGAAGCAGCTGCTCTGTTTCTGATGGAGAGAGAAACTCCTCTCCTGCTCATGGGTAGACTTGTTAAGGAGCTAAAGAAGTGTTCAGATCCTTTAATGCAGGAAGAGTCCACTGATGGACCAATCCGGAGCCGTTACGTCACTGTACCCAGGGAGAAAAGAGAGATCTCCAACGAGGTGTTCTGGGACAGACAGGTCTTCTCTGTGTTAGTGTTACTCCCTACAGGGGGCACTTTGAGGGTTTGAGACTCTGCAGACCGGTCACATGCAGAAGCTACAGAACACAAGGGGACGGGTCAGAACCAGAGAAGCACGACATGGGACCTTTAACGGCCCGTCCACACGGCCGCGTGCGTTGAAGCTTCAACCCTTCTGCCTATTCACTTTGAATGGGGTGACGTCACGCTTTGCCGAACTGCATTGTGGTTCTGTTGCTTTTTCGCGTTGCTCGCTTCAAAAGTTGAGCAAAGTTCAACTTTTGAAGCAATCAAATCATATGCCAGTACAAGCTCTAGCCAATCAAACCGCGTGCTTATGTGTCGGGGGATTCTTGTGATTGGTTGTTGGTCGAGTTTCAGACACGCCCGCCGGCAAGCTTCAACGCACGCTGCCTAACAATAACAAGGACCGTAATGCTTCAGCATTAAAACACCATAGACCAGTGGCGCCGGAAGCAGGGGGGCCAAGGGGCCATTGGCCCCCCTGCTTTACAGCCCTGCTCCACATTTTCTCAGCGGCGGATGCCGCGGAACACTACATCCTATGGCAAGCCATTTGAGTATTTAGTCAATTTCCTTGATATCAGACGGCAGCGGCCTACACTAGTTGGCTCTTTGATTTCACTTGTTAGATATATGGTCAAACTAGTTAGGCACTCTGCTTTACTAGTTGAATAAAACATTTCACTAGTCGCTCTTTTTCAGCAACTAGTGGCACTTTTGTCCGACTAGTTACCACGTATGCCTTACTAGTGACGCCAGGAGCAGCACTAGTAACGGCAAAGTCCCAACGTGTAAGCTTTTTGATGAACTAGTGGCCCTCTGACCGTACTAGTGACCCTAAAAGTCTTACAAGTTAACTAGTGCGCTGCAAAAGCTCTGACATGTTAACTAGTCACACAAAAGAAGCACAACTAGTTAACATGTCAGAGATTTTGCAGCGCACTAGTTAACTAGTCGCACCCAGAATCACTCACTAGTTAACTAGTAAAGGCAAAATGTTCACTAGTTAACTAGTTGACGCCTCTTTTGACCTTACTAGTTAACTAGTGGGGCTCAAAATGTCTACATGTTAACTAGTGAACCCTTTGCCTTTTACTAGTTAACTAGTGAGAGAAGTTTTAAATTCCACTAGTGAACTAGTGAGGCTTAAAATGTTCACTAGTAGCACTAGTGGATCCCAAATGTGCACTAGTCACACTAGTTGCACAGAATGCTAATGAGGAGGAGGGGAAAGAACGCATCGAGGTCTCCTATTGGCCCTAAGATATAGAGCGCCACCCAGCCCAAATAGTTTATTTAAGAGCTTAAATACACTGTTTTAAAATATGACCATATTTACAAAAATATAAAACAAAAGTATTTGTGTTATTATGATCATATGACTGTATATCAAATTAGGTAAGAACATTGAAGACTTTCTTAAAATTAGAAAGTTGCCTTAGGACTGCAGGCAGGAATATAGATCCTCTTTAACACATTTTATTAAACTGCAATTTGAAAGGTGCTTGGATTAGAATGGCATTGTGATAACAGAGTGACATTAGTGATGGATAGAAAGAGGAAGTAACCCTCTTCGGATCACAGATTTGAGAGATCGCCGTGACTTCCGTAAATATTAGTCTTGGCAAATATGGAGAGGTTGTTTATCTTCATACGGATCTATCGTTACCCTGATTTTAAGATCTGTCCAGTGTTTCAGCTTTATTCATTTCATGAGCACCGCTGATAAAATGTCCCACGATCACTTCCTCTACTTTTGTGTCTCGAGTGCCGGTGTTCTCACACACAAGCGTGCGCACATTCGCACCAACAAAAACACACACACAAAGCGGAACAAAGCAGAAGCAGAAACATGTATATTTCTAGGTAAAACACACACTGACTGACTTCCCACGGACAATATGTTAACAGTAGGCACTAAATACCCGACTGATGCACCTCACGTCTTCAAGACGTTGCTAAAAACATCGCAGAAGAACGCCCCCTCAGGCTCTCCCTCACAGAGCTGAACTGACCAATCAGAATCTGGGTCCCGCCTGCTTCATTTGCCTATGGCTGACTAGTTAACGTGTTGGCCATATGAACGGCAACTAGTTAACTAGTGGATACATATTGCAGCTTACACGTTAACTAGTGAAGGCAAAATGTTCACTAGTGAACTAGTTGAAGCCTGTTTTGGTCTTCTAAGCTGACTAGTGAGGCTCAAAATGTGCACTAGTTAACTAGTGAGGTCCAAATTGTCCACTAGATGCACTAGTACAATTGTTTTTACCTTACTAGTTAACTAGTTACACACACTTTATCTCACTAGTTAACTAGTGAAGCCTTAGAGGAGTCACTAGTGAACTAGTGACACAGATGTTTTTCTTACTAGTTAACTAGTGGAGGGCATTTATTCTCACTAGTGAGGTTTTGTCATAAACATGTTAGACTTTGACCTGACATGTTACACATTTTTCTTACATGTAAGGCCTTTCCTTCAACTAGTTTGGCTTTTTTTGCACTAGTGAGCAACTGCATGCAACTAGTTAGCTATTGATTCAACATGTATGGCTTTTTCCAGAACTAGTGGATATTTTCAGCCCACTAGTTGTGCTTTTGTTCTCTCTAGTTCAACACAATGACTTACTAGTTGACGTGTACGTACAACTAGTTTACTAGTGATGTGTCAACAAATGCACTAGTCAACATGTATGACTTTTAAACAATTCACTAGTTAACTAGTTGCACGTACACGTCAACTAGTAAGTCATTGTGTTGAACTAGAGAGAACAAAAGCACAACTAGTGGGCTCTAAATATCCACTAGTTCTGGAAAAAGCCATACATGTTGAATCAATAGCTAACTAGTTGCATGCAGTTGCTCACTAGTGCAAAAAAAGCCAAACTAGTCGAAGGAAAGGCCTTACATGTAAGACAAATGTGTAACATGTCAGGTCAAAGTCTAACATGTTTATAATATAACCTCACTAGTGAGAATAAATGCCCTCCACTAGTTAACTAGTAAGAAAAACATCTGTGTCACTAGTTCACTAGTGACTCCTCTAAGGCTTCACTAGTTAACTAGTGAGATAAAGTGTGTGTAACTAGTTAACTAGTAAGGTAAAAACAATTGTACTAGTGCATCTAGTGGACAATTTGGACCTCACTAGTTAACTAGTGCACATTTTGAGCCTCACTAGTCAGCTTAGAAGACCAAAACAGGCTTCAACTAGTTCACTAGTGAACATTTTGCCTTCACTAGTTAACATGTAAGCTGCAATATGTATCCACTAGTTAACTAGTTGCCGTTCATATGGCCAACACGTTAACTAGTCAGCCATAGGCAAATGAAGCAGGCGGGACCCAGATTTTGATTGGTCAGTGTCCAAACTGAGTGAAGAGCCTTATAAGCAGTGGCGGCTGGTGGATTTTTTTTCTAAGTAGGGCTGTACCACATGCAATCAATTTCAGCAAACATCCCAGTATGACTTAATGCAAAAAAAACAGTAGTTTCAGTGTTAATTTATCAGTCTTAAATTGTAATGCCTCCATAAACAATTTAAACATTTGAGACTATGTACAAAAACTTAAAAAACAATTGCATTAGCAATACTTGCATATATATGTATGTATATATATGATGTATATCATATATATATATATATATGATGATGATGTATATCATATATATATATATATAAGTTGAAGTTTATTTGCATTAAAAACGTGTGTTTAAACCCTTCTGTTCAAAGTTGATATTTTGTTTCTTAAAAGATTACATCTTTAAAAACATGCTGTTTGCCATTTTTAAAGTTTGATGGAAGAAATTAAAATATAGGTCACTGACGTGGAGCTTTAGGCCTGCAATGCTTTAAAAAAAATGTTTTAGTTGTTTCAGTTTTGAAGAGTGATATGGATGTTAAATACACACATTAGAATAATCTTAAACAAGAACAGGATCTTGAGCCATGATAATCCGTGTATCTACCGTCCAATTGTTTTTCTTTATTAAACACGTAAACGGAAGAGCGTTTGAGAGGCCTTTTTGCTTCTTACCTTACTAAATGGTCTAATGGTCATTGGAGCGAGGGGGGAAACTCACGGAAGTGATTTCAAAACAAAAGCGGTGATAATATTATAAACAAAGGGAAACAAGGTGAATTTAGCGATCACAACGAAAACGGCCAAGACACATATTGAGCCCAGAAAATGGATGTAACTAAGGGCTGTAAATATAATAAGCCTCTGTCTAAAATGGACAACATTGTTAGGAGATTTAAACTATACAGTGATTCTGCACTGCGGTCAACTCCAAATCAGCTGCTCTTCATTCCTGCTATATTTGACGAGTGATACAAATATGTTTTACCACAAGTTCTTAAGAAAACTGACACCGTTGGACTCGGTTCTAGTTTGACTTCTACCAGAAATAAAAAAGTACTTTTGCTGTGTTCTTTGTGAGTAATCCTCTGTCAGAGTCCCTTCCATAGTAGGCTACATACAGTAATGCATGTTTTCTGCTGTCTTTGATGAATGATACAAATATAATTATATTTTACCATTAGTTCTTAATGAAATTGATACTGTTTGACTTTGTATTAGTGAGCCTACTACTTATAATACATGGAAGTACTTTTACTGTGTATTTTTTGAGAAATCCTCTGTCAAAGTCCCTGCTGAGAACAACATCAAGCCACTTCTGCTAAGTTTGATGAGGGAATTATTTTTTGTTGCCATTAGTTCTTCGTGAGATTGATCCTGTTGGACTCAGTACTACTCAAACTACCCCCACAAGTACTATGAAGTACTTACTGTGTACTTTTCCAGTACTCCTCTGTCAATGTCCCCTCCTGAGAACAAGAATGCATGTTTCTCTGCTATTTTGAATACGCGTTAAAAAACCTTTCTTCATGAGACTGATATTGTTGGACAGAGTACTTTAAGAGGATATGGTGGACATGATATCAGCAATATTTCCAGTCAGTACTCCGGCAGCAGAATTGTACACCTTGGAAAGTCTTTAGAGTCTGGCTAGCTGGTCTATCCTTCAGAAAAGTGACACACTCTGTCACTCTTGTTGGCTTCTTATGAAGCTGCTATCTTTTAATATATGATTATTTCTCAGCCGCTAGTTCATTCCTCGCAGATTCTTCAGTCTCATCAGCCTCATCCTTCCATCAGTCCCAGTCAATGCCTCCAGCACCCTGCCAGTGTCTGACTCCATATGATATTGTCCCTGATGCTGTAAGGGTGATGCCCCATGATCACAACATGACCCCTCTAGAGTCTGAGTGCCAGGGACTTCATATTATGTCTGTCATTAATGTTAAATCACCCATTATAACAATTTTATTTCCTTTTTTCTCTTGTCTTAACTGAATAGTTCTGTCTTTAAGTATAACCCAATGTAAAGTCCTTTTCCTGCACCATTTTAAGGCTTCAAAAACAGGCATTTTTACTGTATGTGTTTGAAGAAATGACACAATCAATGGCCCAGAATTGTACTTTATAAACTATGAATCTTGTGGTGCTTGAAGAAATACACACTGGCTAAGCCGGCCAGGTTATATATATATATATATATATATATATATGCCTTTTTTGGAGCCCTTTTTTGCAATATTTATTAAAATGTCACTAGTTATTTAAACAAACCACTATCTGAGGATAATACAAGCAACCATACAACGCCATTTATCTAGAGAGCCACAAATCTTTTCAACTGCTGTAAGTTAGGGCACTATCTGTGCAGAACATTTTAAATATTCTTCATTTGCAGTATTTTTTTCAAAAAGTGTTCAGAAAGACTGCATCAATTATATGCTATATATATATATATATATATATATATATATATATATATAATATCAATATGTTTTATTAACTAACCAAAGTCAATTTAAATAGCGGGCACAAATGGGTTAATTGTCATGCATCTGGTGTTTCATATAGTTTACGTTCAATTTCAACTATTTTAGGCAGAAAAACGTATTGACTAAAACTTTTTTAATAATTTACTATAATTTAGAAAGGTTTTTGTGAGAAATCATTTCAAAAGTAAAGTTCATTCAGTATTTCAGTATGAACTATTTGATAGCCCTTATTATAATCATTAAGTCCTTAAAGTTGTAAAATGCACTAAAAGCCGAATCTAAGATTTATTTTCTGTCTCCATTCATTCTACTGAGCCGAGAGTGGGAGCTCGGGGCGGGGCTTAAGGGGCACATGCTCTGTGAAAATCACATATTACGGTTCCCATGTTTGTGTTTGAACTTCTGTGAAGATTGATGGGCGAGGTCTATCTTAAGAGCCAATAGGAGACCGATATGCATCCACTAGTTAACTAGTTGCAGTTCATATGGCTCACTAGTGAACGTGAAGGCCATACACGTTCACTAGTGAGCCTATATATGCAAATGAAGCAGGCGGGACCCATATTCTGATTGGTCAGTTGAGCTCTGTGAGGGAGAGCCTGAGGGGGTGTTCTTCTGCGGTGTTTTTAGCAACGTCTTGAAGACGTGAGGTGCATCAGTCGGGTATTTATGCCTACTGTTAACATATTGTCCGTGGGAAGTCAGTCAGTGTGTGTTTTGCCTAGAAATATACATGTTTCTGCTTTTGCTTTGTTCCGCTTTGTGTGTGTGTTTTTGTTTTTGTTGGTGCGAGTGTGCGTATGCTTGTGTGTGTGAGAGAACACCGGCACTCGAGACACAAAAGTAGAGGAAGTGATCGTGGGACATTTTATCAGCGGTGCTCATGAAATGAATAAAGCAGAAACACTGGACAGATCTTAAAATCAGGGTAACGATAGATCCGTATGAAGATAAACAACCTCTCCATATTTGCCAAGACTAATATTTACGGAAGTCACGGCGATCTCTCAAATCTGTGATCCGAAGAGCGTTACTTCCTCTTTCAATCCATCAATAATGTCCCTCTGTTATCACAATGCCATTCTAATCCAAGCACCTTTCAAATTGCAGCTTAATAAAATGTTTTAAAGAGGATCTATATTCGTGTCTGCACTGCAGACACGAATATAGATCCTTAGGCCTTAGGACTGCAGACTCTGCAGTCCTAAGGCAACTTTCTAATTTTAAGAAAGTCTTCAATGTTCTTACCT